TGTATATTAAGTTTATATTCACAGTACACAGAAAATATATCTACCAACTATTTTCGTCACAAAATTGATATCAGAAATTTTGTGTTTCAAATTTTGGTTTCGTCACTCATTCTTCACCTCGATAGAGGTTTTTTATTTGATTTAAGTATACATTAAATACCACTTTTGTAAGAAAAATGGAATTTTTTTCACATAGGCATCACTCTTTCCTCTATCAATCAAAGTCGCTCAAAACCTAATGGTTTCTATTCCAATTGGGACCCCCAATCCCGTGAAGTCAGATTTTGAATTACTTTTCTTGTACAGGGTACCACGCACATACATTCGGACATCGAAAAAACGACTGATTCGTGTTTCAGAATGCTATTTTTTGTGAAAGAATAACCTGTGCAAAATTAACGGCATTATTGTAAACATTGTGTTTTGGATTGTTGAATTGAAACGGAGAGTGTACCAGGTCCACCGATTCAGCGGTGTCCATAGTTCCTCGTTTCTCAGGTTTTCTTTTAACCTATTGCAAGAAGGTAATTCATGATACTACTCGACTACAGGAGTCGGCTTTGTGGTGATTTTTCTTATCGGTCCATTGAGCAAAGACCTTCTACCACGAATAGTGTGAATTCCAAAAACTCAACTGAGCAAAGACGTATGTACATCCACCACCGACGAGCACTGCAGTTGTTGTGAACATTCATAACTTATTAATCTATCATTCATAACTTATTAATATTCCAGATGGCGCCTTAGCTCCTCTGGTTAATGAATAATAATAATAACTGCACTGAACAGCGTTCCTTCCTCTTGGTGGTTTTTTGAAAATAATAAAATTAAATATATATAATTTAATACAATTTGATTTTTATCAAGTATTTTTGAGAGTGATAATAAAAAATTATTGTTTCTTTCCTTTCATGTAAACAATATAAATTTCTTAAATTAATTTTCCAACTTCTTAAAATTTTTATAATCCATTTTTAAATATTTTCTATTTATCTGTTTTGCTTGAAATAATTTTCTATTCTTAGTTTGATTGTTGATAAATTTACTTCTAAATCTTTTCATCACTGTTTGGCATTTTTTTGGTATAAAAATCGTTGAATGATGTTAGCATATAATTTAATGGCTCATATTTTGTGCAATCAGCATAGCTTCTGAGCAGGGGTCCGAGGGGTTGGATTACCCCTCCCTGAGAAGAGATGTGAGAAGTACCCATTTACAAATTGAGAAAAAATATTCGTTCGATTTGCTAGGGATTTTGGCGAATAAAGTGAAGACCTTTTTTTTAGCTCTCCACTTTCTAAAGTGGGACAAAATATTCAATTTTGCCCCCCCCCCCACTCCTCTAGGAAGGAACTATTCAAAAATGCATTTTTGAATTGGTGCGAGACCCCTTTAGATTTTTGAAAAATTGTGAAATTATTGTGATATTTAATGTATTCTCAAACACTCAAAAATATGTATTGGGGATTTTTGGGTACGAGAAAACCGAATATGACGTTAGTTTTGCGATGCAAGTAATTTTCGATACGATTTTAATACAAAAATTTCGGCTAAACTACACTTTACGACGACATCCTCTTTAAATCGATTTTTTTTATAAATGGTATTTTGTCAAATTATGAAAATGATGGGGAACGATATATTGGGAGTGGGGAAATAATTTAGTGAAAAGGGGGGTTGCCCCCCTTGGGTATTAGTGGGGGGAGTACCCAACTTGTCCAAAACCTCATTGGATCAAAAAGTGATATATGGCAAAGTTGTTCAGAATGACTAGAGAATTTTTTTAGGGGTTTTTTACCCACCCCCAGATTTTAAACTCAAGACGTCAGATCTATGAATACAATGAAAATATTGATTTTTAGGTTATTTTTAGATTATTTTTTGGGCACATCTTCACTATCGAAGGCCATATCTTGAAAACAAGAATTTTTCTGGATATAATCTTTGCGGAATTTTATAGACTTAGACTTGAAATCGGTGAAATTTTCAAAAAAAATTATTGAACCAATTCCGAGAATATGTCCGTTATGTGTCCGACCAGAATGTTAATTTTTGGTTTTTGGCTAATTTGACATTTTTAATTCGCAATTGGCTCCATTCGATAGCTTACTTGAAGATCATTACAACGAATATGCATATGTCCTGGGTATGCCAAGTATAGGTGCCACAGCGACCGTATGGAAAAATGGCCATTTTTGGCTTTATTTGCACTATCGAAGGCTTTATCTCGAAAAAAAGAATTTTCTGGGATATAAGCTATGCGGCGATTTAGGCCTAAAATCGGTAAAATTTTCAATGCACCAAGTTAGACTGGTTTCCGAAATAATGGCCGTTATGTGTCCGGCCGAAAGGTAACTTTTTAGTTTTTGGCCGATTTGGCCAGTGGCCACTCCATGTTGAAATTTTTGAACCGAAATTGGCATCATTCGATAGTTCACTTCAAGACCTTTCCAACGATATGCATATGTCCGGGTGTGTCACATGGATGCAGCTCGGTGACCGCAGGGACAAAAGTCAAAAAATGACTTTTTGAAGCCGGCCACGGCCAACATTCCGGCCATATTAAAAAGTGCCGGAACAAAAAAGTCTTACCAGTAAAGTACCCAAAGTGTTACAAAAAGTTATCAATTTCACCTATATCGATGTAACGTGCCGAGAAAATAGGTTTGTGAAAATAAGGGGTGCCCCTTTTGGGTCTTGGGTACCCCACCATATCAAAATTTGGTCGGATCAAAAAATAATGTACTACAAAGTTGTTCAGAATGACGAGAGAAATTTTTTAGGACCCCTAATGGCCAATGGAAACTACATTGATATGTGCAACTTTCATGGGAGGGAACACGTATACCCATTTGAGTCATAAGGGGTGAATATCCCATTGTGAAGTCACAATGAAATGGGGTATTTTCACTTTTCGACCCGAATTGAAGGTTCAAGTTAGATGGATTGAAACATAGGTCAAGAGAGATTGACAATGTATGGAGCCTATAGGTAACTTTTTGTTATTATTGTGTAATTAGAATAATAGGAGATCATTTGGTGTCATCATGGTCGAACAATTTGGACGATATTGAAGAGCTATATTTTGGGGACAAGTGGAGTAACTTTCAAGGCTTCCTAATCTTACAACGCACAAAAAATAATATATATAATTCCCTATTAAAATTTACAGAATATTTATTTTTAAAAATTATTTTGCGTTGCCCTGATAGTATAACTGGACCGGTTCTAAAACATGTTTTTCAGTTCTTCTAATTTATTCCATTAACATTTTGACGCAAGCGCAAAACTTGTTTATTTCTCGTTTTTTTTTGCTATTTAAAAACAACTGTTTAGTTAACATTGATGATAATAATACAATTTAACATTATTCGAACATCTTCTGCTTTCACTTTTAGGTGCTTTTTCTATTTAGATTAAAATATATTTGCCTTTAGAAAACTTTGAATTACTTTTTGGAAATAAATAAAATACCAAATGTTGAAAAAAGTTTGCTAACCAATTCAAAGTATTATACAAAATCCATGATTATCACTAGTTATTGATATGAGTGACCAAAAAAAGATAAAACTAACATTAAATCAACAATCAGCGTGTGACGCCTTGCGAAAATCCGTTGCAAATTCAAAAATTGTACCAATTCAATTGATTACTAATACACAGGTAATTTTACAAAAGTAAAAACATTTCCCTTTTCACTGATTATTTTAGATAATAGAAATTAGTTTAACTCCAATTTTTTAAGTTATCTAACATATTATAGATCTACATATAATTTAAAAAATATAAAAGACTACACAGTGTGTAGTACACACAAAGGCTTCGATCAATTTTGAATATTCGTGAGAACTTCAAAGAATTGTTGTATTTTTGTCGTCCATTAAATAAAAAAATCTTTTATTTTCTTTATTTCACTTCTTTTATCAGTTGATCTTATTCATTGAATCATCTGACGGTTGTGTTGATGAAGCTCAAAGAACGCTTGAAAACTATTACGATGCAAAACTACAAGCACCTGAACACTTTGCTGGTCGAGATCCCACTTCTGATGCTGTACAGCAGTGTTTAAATAATCAGTACATGTTTATTAATAATAATAATAACTGCACCGAACAGCTTTCTTTCGCCTTGGTGGTTTATTTGAACTGTAATTCTTTTTTTTACAGACATTACTTCGTTCTTCCACCAGATGATAAGAATAGCGGATGCCCAATTATTTTTCATCAACTTTCAAACCCCAAAATATCAAACTATCATTTTGATAACGCTATTAAAACATTTTTTATGACAATTGGTAATATATTATTATCGTATTTGATGTAATCAAACTTGGTTTTATTGCAAATGAAATGAATTGTTTGTTTTCTTTTTAAATCAAAGGTATAACATATATATTACAAAAAAAATAATATTTCAGATATTTGTCTTGAAAAATATGGGAATTTGTCAGCAGAACGTGGAATAATATTTTTATTCGATATGCGGCACGTTCGAATCGGTCATTTAACTCGTGTTAAAATCGCAACCATTCGAAAATTCTTCCGATATGTTCAAGAAGGTTAGTTGACAAAGAACAAAAAACAACAAATATAGAATGTGAAAGGAATCATCCACTAATTAATTGTTCCCTTTTAGCTATGCCAGCCAAATTACGTGAAATTCATGTCTTGAATGTTGTGCCGTTTTTTGACAAAATTCTTTCTCTTATTCGACCTTTCATTCGGATGGAAATATTGAAAATGGTATGATTTCGCACACATATATATGATTATAATTGTAATTTGAATCTATAAAAGTACAAGTCAAGTAACTCAAATATAAAAAACTTAATATATTTTTCAAGCTGCACACTTATCCATCGAACTATGAAATGAGTGAATTTTACGAAAAAGTTATATCAAAAAATAATTTACCAAGAGAGTTTGGTGGAAATTTATCTCCAGCAGAAGAAATACACCAATGTTTCAGAAATGAATTTATTGAACGAATTGAATATTTTCGGAATGACGAAGAACAACGCGGTTTATTTTGGGATAACCTTCCAAAATCTTCCATAAACACATATGATGACCAGATGGGAAAAAAATTTGTAAACAGCTTCAAAAAACTGGATATTGATTGATAAGATATTTATTCATTATCGGACAATGTAAAATTGATTGTTGTTTACTCATTTAAAATAAAACATCAAAGTTTATACTATATGAATTTTCAAAAATGGGGAAATGTTTGATTTGAAATATGCATTGGAAAAGGAGGATAAAAGTTTGGTGGTGGGTAAGCAACATTTCTGCTTTGTGACTTTGGTCGCATTAATTCAACCATTTTCTCAATTTTCAATTTACGTAAATGCATTAGTTTTCGTTCCATCATAAATTGTTCGAGGTATTCATCAATTGTGATTTCTTTGTTTTGGAACGTTGATGCTATTTCTTCAGATTTTTCTTCACATTCAGCAGCAGCAGCTTGTAATAGAGCTAATGCAGTGTCTGGTGTTTTATTATTATTCTTCTGCTCTGTAAATGAACATAATAGTTTTAATTTGTTTTTAAATACAGCATGATATGATATTTACTTAGAGCATTTAGCATTTCTTGAAGGTTTTCACATAAAGATTTTCCTTCATCCGAAATCTCACTTATTCGACTTTTGCGTTCAATAATTTCAGGTTCTTTATTCACATTATCTTCTGCAATATTGCGATTTTGATCGATAAGCACCTGTTTTTCTTGATCCAAGATTTTGAGCTGAGAATAAAAAATTAACATTTAAAACATTTATTTTGTTTGAAATATTTTCTGAAAAATTCAAATTTATTGCAACTTTGTCGCAACACGATTATTATTGTGTTCTTAAGAAATCATTTTTTTTTTGTTTCTGATATTACCACACTGTCCACACGTTCTTCCAATTTTGCGTCATCATTGAGGAGAGCCTTCAATTCATCCGAAGATAGAAATGAAATGGCAGATTTTGCCTGTGCAAAAAATTGTTGATACATTTTATTATGGAAATATTTATTTTTTTTTTGTAAATAGCATAAAATGGTAACAATTATTATTATGACGGAATATTTCACAAATTTGACAAATGTATGGGTGGTTTACATTATGAATAACACATGAAGTAGTAGTAGATTTTCAGAATCCAATAATAATGTATATAATATTGGATTTGAAAAACTAACAAACATGTTTTTTGATGCAAAAGAGAGTTCGGAATCGAGCGGAATCATATATTATCCAAAAAATTCGCTATTTAACGTGTCTAATATTGTATTCCAAGTTTGATGTTCATAAAAATCTTGTACTTGATTCAAGTTTATAAATTATCCGTTTCAACCTATTTTCATAATATATGTGTTATCCGGCAAAGTGAACGAAATCTATGGAATCTGTTATAGTATTAGTGAAATTGTTGAAGCTATGTGTCATGTCTGCTCGGTGCGGTCATTGGGCTGGTATATTTGATATATTTTTCTGTTGTTCTGTGATTGATTGCGTGTTTAACCTATAATTGAGACCAATGCACAAAACGAACTTAAAATTGGAACTTATTGTAAGTTAATTCTGCAATACAAGAAAGTAATAAAAAATGTGTATTTATTTTCAAGTTCTGAAAATATTTTGAGTTTTCCATTATGGCATAATTTTGTCAAATAAATATCACTTAAATTATTATCACCAGTATGTACTCTCAGGATAATTATGATTGTTTGAATACTGCAGCATATATCAAGTGTTTTTTTTTATTTTTATATACGTTTGTTTAGGGTTTGAAAGAAGTAGAAAAAAAATAAATTATCCCATCTATATAGTTTTGGGTTGTTCCATCTATATGTTCTTTGAATTTCATGAAAATATCTGATAAACAAATTAAATTTTATGCATGTGACTTTATCAAATAAAAAAAAAAAAATTATAGTTAATATTTTAGTCTTGGAGTTAAATAAAGAATAATATAATTCATGATTTTTTCACTTCGAGATATATTTATGACTATCAAATAATGACAGCGACTTAAATGTGTAGGAGTTTTGTGCAATATAACACTTTATATGAAAGAATCTATGATCAAATGTGTAAACATTGAAACTGAACTATGAAATCCTAACAAGAATGAGATATTGAAGCATTTTTATTTATTTTCATCAACATAAAAAATAGAGTAGTTTTCTATAGTAGTTTTTTGATAAAATAATAAAATTATTTCATTTGGTATAATCTCTTATTAAAGACTTTGGGCGCTAAAGGTAACGTCAACAATTACGACAAATTGGAAAAAAATATTTCACCCACGGTATAAATTAACGAAATGAAATGAAGCAATAATAAGACGACAGCAAATGGCAATCCACTTTTCTATGCACAAGACATCAGTGAAGAATTTTAATAGCAATCTACTTACTATATTTTGAAACTATCAATGGTGTGAAGAATAATTGTAAACAATACTAATAATCAGAACAGCGGAAGATCCAATAATATAAAGTGTCATAAAATTCTATAAATGAATATATAAATTTACAAATACTAAATTGATCTGTGCCAAACAAACATTAGGAGAAAATTTGTTGGGGTCTGTGTATAATTTGTTCAAATTAAACGAAAGTGAGGTGAAAAAACAAAAGATACTTTGATTTTAATCCAAAGAAAATCTTCGCTCACTAGTATCAAAGGGATTATTTGCGAATATGCAAGCTATAAAATGTGTAGTCGTTGGCGACGGGTAAGTAAACAAAATATTTCTTTTATGCAAACGCAATTCTTTGTGATGTAGATCTTTTAAATGATATAATTCACAATTTTCTATTATTGTTATGATTATACTGAGAATAATATGCTGATTTCTTTACTAAAAAGAATTTTGAGAGACAGAAGCTTATTCAATGTAAATGCTCTAAGATATTTTGAAAGATAGGATGTTATATGGAAAATTAAACTTCATCCTCCTCTTCTCAGACTATGATATCAATGCCGATTTTTATGCATATTGATTTTTATTTAAATCGACTCTTCATCTGTGATGTCCAGGAATCTAAGACTTATTTCATTATGTAAATTTAATTCGATACAAAGCAAATTAATATTTTTTAAACGATACAAGATCAAGTTTCCAATACAAGATCAATTCACAAAAAATATATTGTACATAAAACCTTGTAGGTCATATTAAAAAGAAATATCCCGGATAAATAGAAATAATAAGTGCACCGAACTTCGTTTCTTCGCCTTGGTGGTTTATTCAAAAAATATACAGTACGTTTTTTTATCTATAATGTGGGAAAATTTAAATGCGGAAAAATGTAAACACACGATTTTGAGATAATTTTTTTCATTGATGTTTTATTTAGTCTCTAAGCTACTTCGTGCATAATCAATATTTTATCCAGTCACCGTATTTCTCGATCACACGGGCACATCTTTTGGACATACTTTTGCTCAAATTTTCAGCATATTCGCGTTGTAAACTTCTCCACTGGCGTTGAATGAATAAATTGAGCTGCTTCAAATTGCGATGTGTTTTACCACGAAGCCTTGCCTTAATGATAGCACAAACATTTTCGATCGTTTTAGATCATTTTTTTTATTTGATTTTCCTCTTTCCAAGCGGTGCAGAGACGACTTTTGTGTTTTGGATCATTATCTTCTAGTAGAAGCCAATATGAATTGCCGTTGCCATAGAACCTCTTGGAGGTGGGTAACAGTGTCGATGAATAAAGTTGGTTCATTCCCATGGCTTTTGGAATGCCCGTGAATACAGTCAACTTTCATGGACATGGATCTTTTTCGGATGCTTTACCGTGCGAACGACCACTTTCTTTTCGGCTCTAGACTAGGCATGGTTAGTGCCAATCACCAGCCAAAAGAATGACTCGTCAGTGCATATTTCCTCACTCCAATCTCTTTTTGAATTTTGTTTTGACCAGTCAATGCGTTTTTTCTTCTGTTTTTCTGTCAAAAAGAGTTTTTTCATTGTACTGCGATAACGAACATCGGCGACATCCAATCTTTTCTTGAATGTGGAGCGCGAGACCTTTATTTTAAAACGGCGTAGCCGTTTAACACCTTGGCTCAGCGACATACCTGTATTTTCGTCGATCAACTTAACTATCCGCTTATCTTGCTTGGGCGAGGAGGCTCGGTTTGGCTTAACATTTTTTTCCCGCTTATACTGCTGGATCCAGTGCTGGACGAACCCTGGTTACTAATGAAGGTATTTTGCGACCTTCGCCTGCGGCCATTGTGGCTCCTTTGGATGTAAATGCAGAAATACTGCTTCAAATCGTGATTGAAAATGTTCGGAATTCATGTTTCGGTTGCACAACAAACACTGTACTGGTCTGACAGTTTTCGAAACCAAAACGCGAAATAGCTTGAGGTCCCCGTCAGGCAACATCAAAAGTATTTTTTGAATATTCATAAATTTTGGTGCTACTTCGTCACATTATGGATAAAAAAACAAACTGTGAATAAGTAATATAATTTAAATAATTTTCCATCAAACAATTTGGGAGTGATAAATATTCCAAATTTCCATTATCAATGTATTAATAGTTTCGTAAAACTATACTTGTTGATCGTTGAAACTATACTGAAAATGGATTTTGCAAGAAATCTCAATTTTTTTTAAAAATTTAAATTTTGAAAATTCCAAAAAATATTGTTTCTGCGGTTTTTTTGACACGAGAAAATTTCTAAGATTGAAGTACATAAAAAACTAAGACTTTTGTTTTGGCACTTTTAAATATGGCCGCCATATTGGCAGTGGCCGGCGTCTAAAAGTCACTTTTCGACTTTTTTCCCTAACATATGCATATCTATCGAATGGTTCAAAAATTTGAATTTACGGTGGCCAAATTGACCAAAAACCAAAAAGTTACCGTTCGGCCGGACATATAACGGCCAGGAAACTAGCCTGACTTGGTGCATTGAAAATTTCACTGATTTTAGGCCTAAGTCCAAGCTATAAATCGCAGGAAATCTAGCAATATTTTTCATCTGTAGCGCCCTCACTTGACATACCCAAAACATATGCATATCGTTGGAGTGAGCTATCGAATGGTGCTATCAAATATTGACCGTCTGTTCAGACACATAACGGACATTTTCTCAATAGTTTTTTTTATATTAATTTTGTGACGAAAGTAGTTGGTAGTTCATAATAAAAAGTGTGTTCAAATGTTGAATTTGAAAGTTTGCATTGCCAAATTCGGATTCCTCGACCCAAAATTGGGTTTTCAAATGAAATTCACTTTGGTAATTCATGGATAACATCTTATAATTTAACATAATTTATTAAATGGTCTTAAACCATGATGGACGATGATTACCGATATCAATAACCGTGTTATTATTATTATTTATAGTTAACTTAATCATAATGTGATTAAATTAATATTATTAATTATTTATATTTAATTATATATTTATTAATAAATACTCATTATTAACTTGTTAGCATACGAACCATGAGTAAACAACTTCAAAACTACCAATTTGCCCTAATTTTGCGTCGAATCCAAATTTGGCAATAAGAACTTTCAAATTTGAACCCACTTTTTAATAAGAAGATCTGATGGACTTGCTCAATATGGTCCAAAATGGATGTCAGCTGAGATGCTACACATCTACATCACTGTTGAAATTTCATCGTAGCCGGTCAACTCGTTCCGGAGTTTTGCTGACTGAAACAAATGCAATAGCTTAAAAGTATTCATGAAGCGCAAAAAAGTATTCATATTCCCGAAAAAGATGAATACCAAAAAACGAATGCTCAAATTTCAACAAAAACAAGATCTTATGGACACTCGCCCAAATGTCGGACTATTTGTTTGAATTTTCAACTTCAATTTGATATTTAACACTTTTGCTTTCATCTAAAAATATCATTCTATACACAATTCTATGCAGAATTTAAATGTGCTTAATTTCACACTTGTCAAAAGAAAGAAATTTCCAAAAATATATTATTATTTTTGATTTTTCCGTCGTAACATCGAAAATTCCAAATGTCGGATATTCAACGTCCAATTCTCAGCTCCCAAATCTCGACATGTTTCATGAATTTTCACTGCGATACTTGAACAACTTTAAGTTTTGACAGCTCATGAACGCATTCTTTACATTGAGGTAAACAATACAAAATATCGAAGTTGAAATTATTAGATGGATATATTTTTGCTGCATATTTAATTTTATTTATTTTTACATAATAAAATGGCAAAAATATTTAAAAATATTACGTTATTTCACTGATCTATAATATATTTGGTGTGAGTTTCACAATGATCCAAACACGACTTTAACTGTCACATCTGTCAAATCCAAAGTATTTCACTTTAAACTTCGGTGCTTTATGTGTCGGCAATTGGACGATTTATTCCGGAATAATATTACAGTGAAAAATGAAAAATAAATATAATTGTTTTCCTTTAATTTTCAATATTTCTGTTCAATAACTAAATCAAACTATCTACAATTCGCAGACATAGTTTAAATTTTGACGTAAAAAGGGATAAAAATGCCAAATTTTTTTGAACGTAATTTGTGAAAGCAATAATAGATTTTTGATTAAAATTTGGATTATAATAAAGAGATTTGATATTGATCTTTCATAATATACTTTTGAAAATGCAATTAAAATGAATTTTCAATTTTTAATTTCAATTCACCTCTCGGTATTTCGACATTTGGTCGTGTGTCGACATTTGGCAATGTACCATCTAATACTTTGAGTTTTCTCGTCTTTATTTTTTTAAATTTATTTTATAAGCAAAGACAATCAACTTGAATGTATTATATATTATTTTTCTAGTGCTGTTGGAAAAACCTGTCTGCTTATAAGTTATACTACGAATGCATTTCCCGGAGAATACATACCAACTGTTTTTGACAACTACTCGGCAAATGTAATGGTTGATGGCAAACCAATTAATTTAGGTATGTTCTGCTTTTTGTGAGTTTAACAAATATTTTGTGTAATTGACGACAAATGACTCATATGAATACTTTTCAATAGATAAAACACTATTCTTTTAAATATTGAATTTTTATTTTATTTCATTCCAGGTTTGTGGGACACTGCAGGTAGGACAAATATACATTGCACGATACCTATAAACTACATTGAATTGCTAAAGTTTCACTTTTTTTTTCTTTTCTTTTCTTTGACCAAACCAGGTCAAGAAGACTACGATCGTTTGCGTCCGTTATCATACCCACAAACAGATGTTTTTCTTATATGCTTTTCACTTGTTAATCCAGCTTCATTTGAAAACGTGCGTGCGAAGGTAAACATAAACTATACAAAATAACTTCATTTTATACATATAATAATTATTACAAACTATTTTAAAGAATCTTCAACATATGCATCAGATAAAGTAGAGATAGATAGAAAGATATTTATGTAAATTATATTTGTAAGAATTCCTTTTTTGTAATCTCATATTCATTTCCATTATACGTATATGATCACACTGCTGTTTATCTAAAAAAATATTTTCGGAAGACATACAATTCCGGTATTTCGATTGATATCTGTTCGGGAAATTATATCGTATATTTTTCTTCATACAAAACAATAAATTTCGAAAATAATAAAAACTTGAATTTAGTCCCTTACGATTTCATTTTTCATGGATTCTACTGAATAAAATGACGTTATTAAATTAATTTCAGTGGTTTCCTGAAGTTCGTCATCACTGCCCATCTACACCAATCATTCTAGTTGGTACGAAATTAGATTTGAGAGACGATAAAACGACAATAGAAAAACTACGAGATAAAAAGTTAGCTCCAATTACGTATCCACAGGTAAATAATACGTATAAAAATACTAAAATGTATACGTATATTAATGAAAAATGATAATATTTTGACAGTTATTTAAGTTGATGATAGTAAAACAAAATTGTTGAATTGAATCATCATTTTTACCATTAGCCTTTGTACTGCCTCACTTGTAACGCACAATGAAGCAAAAACCTAAAATAAAAATAACAATTGCAATAAAGGAAAATTTCTTTTAAAAGAGTCTTCGATACATGAATTTCCTATTTTTTCAGGGGTTGGCAATGGCGAAAGAAATCAACTCAGTCAAGTATTTGGAATGTTCAGCGCTTACGCAGAAAGGCCTAAAAACTGTATTTGATGAAGCTATTCGAGCCGTTTTATGTCCGGTTTTACCACCTAAAAAAAGTCGAAAATGTGTTTTACTTTAAGTATTCATATTCCCAAAAACAAGGAATACCAGAAAATTGATTAAAAACGAATACCCAAATTAAAACGAAACAAAATGAAGGAGATGCACGGAAATTATTAATCAATAGGATAAGTAAAAATGATTAAAAAACAGACATCAAGGTAGACCAGAATTGGATTATAACTATGATATGCAATGCTGTTGTATGCAAAATAATTTTAAATTTAAATTTCAGAAACCATGTTGTTTGCTATTTTGAAAAAGAAAACAGTGTATAAAATTCATTCACGCTCTAATATGATAATCTTAAGTAGTCATTCTTATCATGTGCACTGAAACTAAAACTTCTAAAAGCTATTTTCTTAATAAGAAAGGTATATCTTTTACAAAGGATCATATAATAATTTTTCTGTCAGTTGCAACACATATTTTTCCATATGTCTTATTTCGATATAAATATTTTGCTTGTGTTTTCTGTGTAAATTAAAACTTGCAATCAATGTCTCCGATGGCCATAAAATTAATATTGAATTGTTTATTTAAAATAAAAAAAACTAATCAATTAATCTTGTGTCCCAAACTATAATAACGAGATTCATTTTAATTGATAGTTCTGATCCTAATAAAAACCTATCATCATATTTAATTTCAATAAATCAAAAAAATGGCACAATATTCGTTATCACGCGAGGATGTATTGAGATAACCGTTTATTTTCTTATGTAGAGCACAGAGCACTTGGAATGACTTCTAATAAAAAAGTGTTTTATTATTATAATAAAAAAAATCTTTTCTTAATTTTTTGCAAATTGTGAAAATAATTGACAGATATGGTTAGACTATTCCATTCCTCTTGCGATCAAAGCAACGAAGATAAACTACAGTGAATGATTTAATATTTCGGAAGAAGATCGCCCTCTCATTTTTCCGAATGGATACCACTTTAAATCATTCGAACCCCTGGGCCGATAGTTAAGTAATCTTTTAATTCTCTAAAGATTTTAAAGAGAGAAAATTCTTTCTATTCCTTATTGTTTTTTGGCTCAAAGTCTCCTTTCTGTAATAAATTTTGATCTAAAAAGAATGAAAACTCCCGATTTGCTAGAGTTCTTGGTAAAAGAGGTTTTCATGAGTAGCTAAGTCGCCAATTAACGAAAACATTAATTTCTGGTATTCGCGTCGACTTCTGTGGTTCAGTTCAACTATCATATGGTTTTTTATGCTAAATTTCTCAAAAGAGATCACCTCCTACACTATATATCAATCTTCGACTTTGCCATACAATGTGCATTAGGGAGTTTCCCATATCTGAAAATAAAAAATGGTATCTATCAATAAATAAATAAAATAAATAATTCAAAGTTCACAAAATTCTATGACAATTAATAGCATTCGCAAAACGCATCGATTGATATTAAGACTTACTAAAGCAAAATCGGAAGTAAATTCAATTGTTGCTATGTAGTGCAATTAAAATAAATACTTACATTTGAGACCTTCACGTACTCTATTTATCAATGAAATTATTATCGAAAAATTCGCATATTGCATTGAAAGTCCATTAGACATGTGACAATCAATACATATACTTGCTCTTCTAAACTTCATCCGACAAAACCTGGTTCACTAAATCGTAACCAGCTACAAGTAATATATTATCAAATAAAAAACCTCTGACGAGATGAAGAGCGAGTGACGAAACCAAAATATGAAACACAAAATTTCTGATATCAATTTTGTGACGAAAATAAATGATAGATAATTTTTCTGTGTACTGTGAATAAAAACTTAATATTCTACATGGGCTGATAAGTTCTTAGAATCGGACACTACCTGGCGACACAAGTAAATATCCATCTCATTTTTAGGAAGAGCCATCCTTTTTAGGAATGCCAACTCGGAAATTACAACTGTTGGAAGGGACCAACCTCCAGTTTTTTCTTAAAATGCAAAACCAATCAAAATTCATTGTTTGGACTGTCTACTATCGATTAGGGCCATTTAGAAGTAGTCTATTGAGTTTGCATGTGGTCGTACAGACCGAAGTAATTATTGCCTCTAAAATGGTAGTTTTTGAAGAGATGCTTCAATAAATCCAAGATGTTGGCATGAAAGACTGCACTATTCGCGTGAATAATCTAGACTAGATCCCAAGCATTCCGTACAATAGTTTTGGAAATTTATTACTTCAACTTTTGGGTAAAAAAAATTCACTCGCAACGAGTTTCCGTATTAACCCAAAGTGGAATCAAGGGGCGACTTTATAGCGATGTTGAATGGATTTTATGCATTAATCAAATTGATATTTTTATTTATTGTTAACTGCTGATATCTGTTTGAATCCATTTAATGCATTATGAGGCAATATATGGTCCTGACAGTCACCAATTCGAATTTTTGGCTTTAGCTCGTATTCCTTGGAAGTGTATTGTTCAAAATGTTGCTTTATCATCTTGAATGGAATGAAGCGATGCCAAAGAAATAGTCCATGTCATTTTTGAACTTTTTGAATCGAGAAAATACTGTTTTTTTCAAGAAAATGTATACTTTAAAATTGTTATCAAAAACCGCCTCGGGAAGCCATACACACGGTGGAAATTCCAGCAAGTTAAAAAGTATGAACTTCATATTTCTGGTGTGAACTGGTGGGACCTTTATCTATCCCCTGGAGAGAGAAATAGATTTGCATCCAGCCCGGCCTTTGAAATAAAGACATGAAATGAAGAATTTGGTACGATTTTGAGGTAATGTTCCTTCTTGTGGTGTAACCTCTGATTCCATGAACAGATTTGGCTCAAATTCCGTTGGCATTCCTAAAAAGGATGGCTCTTCCTAAAAATGAGATGGATATTTACTTGTGTCGCCATCTAGTGTCCGATTCTAAGAACTTATCAGCCCATGTAGTACATTTGAACATTCAAAACGTTGCAGAAATTCCTCTCTTTTTACTGCAAGTATGGACTGATGACGCAATGCAACGTTCCGAATATACAAATGTATATTAAGTTTTATACTTATATTTATTTTATACACTTTTACTTTTCTGCACACATATTGTATTACTTTTCTGCACACAGTAGGGTGAAAAGTATTGTAATCGGTCAAAACTTTGAAAATTTCAGGCACATGTTTTCTACTTATTATTGAGGTCAGAGAACACAAATTAGGCGTTTTTAAACATGGTTTTTGTTAATCTGTACGTCGTACGTCGTACGAGAAAGATTGCGCTCACCGTAGAAACTTAATTCAAAATCTGACGACTTTACAGGATGATTGGGGGTCGCGAGGAATAGAAATCATTAGATTTTGAGCGACTTTGGTTGATGGAAAAAAATTTCATGCCTGGAGAAAGAGTCCTGGAGCCTATGAAAAAGAGTCCAATTTTCGTCCAAAAGTCATACTTAATGTAGACTTAAACACTCAAAAATATGAATTTGGGGGGTGGGTGTTTTGGCACGAATCCGATGCTAGTTTTTAGATACAATAAATTTTTGATACAGTTTCCTTGAAAAAATCACAAAAAAATTGAATTTTTGTATGGGAGCCATACCATAAAGACGTAAAACTTTGCACAGACTAATTTTTACACACAAAAAAAACACATACTGAAAGTTTGAAGAGATTTCAATCAAAATTAGGGGCACCTTCCGTACCAAATTTTCATATGGGGAGTACTCTTAATTTTGGTTGAAATTTCTTCAAACCCTTCGAATGTTTTTTTTTTGTGAAAAATAACCTGTGCAAAGTTTCATACCATCAAGGTAGCATACAGACATGGCTCCCATACAAAAATCCAAATTGTTTGTGACTTGTTATGAAAAGTGATTCAAAAATAATTTTTATGGCAAAATTAACGTCAGACATATTTTTTTATAGTGTTTAGTACAAATGGGAAAGAGTGAAAAATCTTTTGCGAGTACTTCTGCTATTAAATTAAAGAATATTTCGATGGAACATATTTTTTGGTCTCGAACTTTACGCCGCTTGAAAGGCTTGAAAACTCGAACAAATATTATTTTGAACTTGCTTAATAAAATACGCAACTACCACCGTGCGGAAAAGTTCGTCTTACTCCCGTAAGACTCTTTATTTTTTATCTTTGTCTTGGGGCATAAATCGGTGAAATTCTCAAAATGGAGTGTGTTTTTCGAGAAAATATCCGTTATGTGTCCAAATTTTGATTTTTGGCCGATTTGGCCATCTGAACTTAAAATTTTTAAGTCGCAATGAGCACCATTCGATAGCTCACTTTAAGAACTTTCCAACGAATATGCATATGCTCTAGGCATAAAGGTGCCACAGCGATTGTTTGAAAAAATCATAGGTGTTAATTTTTCTACTAATTAGTAGAATTTTTATCAGTTTATTAGTTTCATCATTTTTATTATTTTATTACTTAGTAGTTCTTAGTAGCCACTAAGAAGTAATAATTATTATTTTACTAGCTACTAACAACTTCTAATTATTAGGTCTTAGTAGATTTTTTATTAGAATTTTAGTAGATTTTTTATTAGAATGTTAATAGAAATTTTATTAAAATTTTCACAGTGGCAACTTTCTCTCGCCTTGCAATAGCCAAATGACGCGTATTGATTCAATCACGATTGGTATTCGCTTACTATTCAATAGGCATCACATAGCAAGTTTATATGAAACTCTCGGAGACTCGGTATAGAGCACTCAAACAGTGAAAAAAGTCCAGATCGTGATTCAGATGATATGGAATGCGATTTTTTTCATTCTGATTTCACCAGGTGATACAGAAAATTGAGTAGTATTTGTAAATCGAAGAAAAAAAATTTAATTATTTTTTTCATTTTTCGCGATTTTTT